AGATCATCGCCGTACGTATGCGTTCGCTTGTTTGTCGCGTTCGGTAGTCGTTCGATCGTAATTCTTCTGTGTTCATCCTTCGACATTTTAACGTAGTATCAAGAGTGAGATAAAAACAAATTTGTTCATCACGCCGCGTCGCGAGCGTCTCTCTCGCTTTCTCTCTCTCTGTCTCTCTCTCTCTCCATCCTCCCTCTCTCCTTCTTCCCCTCTCTCTCTCTCTCTCTATCTATCTATCTCTTTCCCCCTGTAGGAGCACGATGAGACGTGGGCGAAGAAGATACAGAGCGAGCGTTTCCGGCACCACAACGAGAACTGGCTGGACATGGTGGAGTCTCGGCAGGCGGAGGACACGGCCCACGACATGTACGGCGAGGACGAGATAGGTCCCTACCTGCAGGAGGGCATGCTCGACCGCCCAGACCTCTTCTACGGAGGTACGTGGTCGTGCTGCCGCGCTCCCGACATCCCCGTCGGACCTCCATGCCGCGCTCCCGACATCCCTGTCGGACCCCCGTGCCGCACTCCCGACATCCCTGTCGGACCCCCGTGCCGCACTCCCGACATCCCTGTCAGACCCCCATGCCGCACTCCCGACATCCCTGTCGGACCCCCGCTCCGCACTCCTGACATCCCTGTCAGACCCCTTTTACGGAGGTACGTGCCTGTGCGTCGCGTTCCCGAAATCCCTGTTGGACCTCTAAGTTTTTATCTTTTTTTCTCTTGAATTCATTGTCTTCATCATAATTATCATTAGATAAAATCGTAGCTAGTTTAACCTACTCTGAACCTACGCCGTCACCGATCGCCTCTAACGTAAACATTGACTGTCGCCGCAGAGGGACACGACAGCGTGACACTGCAGGGAGACGGCAACCTGTCGCCGGACTACGTCGTCGACGAGGTGTTCTCTAACGGCGGCGCGGCGGAATTCCTCGGCCACCACGCCTACCCTAGGTATGTCCAGCCTCGCCGCCTGATCCCCTAGTGTGTGGCTGACGGTCGCGTGCGAGCAGGGTAGGGATGCAGGGGGGGGGCTGTTGTTTTTGGAGAAAGGGATGCTGAAGAAAAATATGAATAAAAACCGAAAATAATTAAAATAATATAAATATCAAAAAAAATTAACTTAAGGATACTCTCCACGTTGTGCATGAAATTTTATCGATTTTTCGTTTTCAACTTTATTCGATGGCTAACACTATGTCCCACCTGTGTACATGCTAATTTCTCCATATAACGGTACATGCGAACTGTCAGAGCGTTTTTGCTTGTCCCCGTACATGTGTAGTGAGCCGCAGCTGACGTCATTATGACGTCAGACACATGATACAACCAGCATTTTCACAATATTCACTGAGCCAGTATCCATCAATATCAGGAGTAGATAATAGGGAATTCCCTATTATCTACTC